AAGCTTTTCATTTCTTGCTGGTGAAACACTGAAAACCCTTACCGTTATCTTGTAACACACACACACACAGTGCATTACTGTTACCTGTAGTCAGCTGATTGTGCAAGAGAACATCCTGTCAATTAACACTGCACCTGTTGCCCAACCTCTCCCAACTGCCTACTCCCTACCAGACTGCAGTTTGTTTTGTTTTGCTGTACTAGGGATCAAACTGAGGGCTTCAGATAGAGATACAGCTTAGCAGTAGTGTGCTTATCTATATGTGCAAAGACCTGGGTTAGATTCTTTGCAACTCAAGCGCACACACACACACACACACACACACACCCTACTGCATGCTAGGCAAGCACTCTGCTACTGAGAGTACACATCCTCTACACATCCTCCCTGTGCAGACTAGATTTTCAAACTCCAGACAGAATATATTTGGGGGGGAAAAAAAGAGAAGAGCAGGTCTAAAACAGGAACGGAGCACACCTGCAATATAAATTAAAAAACAAAACAACAAAAAACAGAACCAACTGAATACAACACAGAATTCATCTAGACCTCAAAAGAAGAATATCAACACTCCTCAAATTATTCCAAAAGAAAGTTATACTTCTAAATTCCTTTAACAAAGCCAGTATTACTCTGATACCAAAACCAGAAAAAAATCCAACAGAAAAAGAAAATTATAGATCAATCTCTCTAATGAACATATATGCAAAAATTCTCAACAACCTATGTTTTTTTAAAGATTTATTTACTGTGTATACAGTGTTCTGTCTGCATGCACACCTGCATACCGGAATAGGGCATCAGATCTCATTATAGATGGCTATAAGCTGCCATGTGGTTGCTGGGAATGGAACTCAGGACCTCTGAAAGTGCAGCCAGTGCTCTTAACCTCTGAGTCATCTCTCCAGCCCTCAACAATGTATTTTCAAGAGCACTGACTGCTTTCCCAAAGGAGCCAGGTTCAAGTCCCAGCACCCACATGGCAGCTCACAACCATCTATAACTCCAGTTCCAGGGGATGCAACACCTTCTTGTGGCCTCACTGGGTACCAGACACACATGTGGTACACAGACATATTTGCAGCAAAACACTCAAACATATAAAATAAAAAATAAGAATAAATTAATAAATATAAAGCTGGGTTGTTTTTTTTTTTAAGTATTTTTTAAGCCAAAGTAAAGAATACATCAATAAGATCATTTAGTTCATTTTATTTTTATATGAAAAAAGCTGGAATGCTTTTTTCTACGCAGGCACAGGTAAACTCCTGAAGACGAAGTTTGTTTTACTTCAATAACAGTCATGTACAGCCAGAATCTAAGATGATGAGGCACTGGGGATGCATACACATAGGGAATGCCATGGCAGGATAAGGGAGCAAGCAGGCCATCATCTGCAGCCAAGGTGAGTGGTCTTAGAGAAAACCAGTCCTTGCCAATTCCTTGACCTGGGGCTCCCTGCCTCCGGGGCTGTGTAGAATTTAAAGTTCTATGTCTAGTCTGTGGTACTGTTGTGGCAGCCCTGGCAAACTAATAACTTCTCCAAGTTAAAATCCTTTACAGAACAGAATAAAATACAGTAAATTGGAGAGAATCTAGAGAAATGGGTCTGATTTCCCACTTTCCTGGACAGTGATTAGAACACTTTCAAGCCATCTTATTCTCCTGACAGAAATGGCACAATAAACTGAAGGAAGCAAATAATATCACCTTCCTGGTTCCAAAGCTGGGATTCCTGTATCTATGAGGTAGCTTGAATAAGAATGGTTCTTATAGGCTCACATGTTTGAATACTTGATCCCCAATTGGTAGAACTGTTTGGGAAGGATTAGGAGGTATGGCCTTGTTGAAGGAGGTGTGTCACTGGGAGCAAGTGTTGTAGAATATTAGCTTAAAGATATGTTACATTCATTTATGCTGTGGAATATTTGTTTAATGATGCAAAGATGTGCTGCATTCTTTTATGTTGCATTTGTTTAACTCTGTAAAACTGTGTTACTTTGCCTGTCTAAAACATCTGATTGGTCTAATAAAGAGCTGAACAGCCAAAAGCTAGACAGGAGAAACGGGTGGGGCTGCCAAGCAGAGAGAATAAATAGAAGAGAAATCTAGGCTCAAGGGAGAAGAATAGGAAGAGTTAGAAAAGGAGGAGAGGATGACACCAGGGGCCAGGCATCCAGCCAGCCATAGAGAAAGAAGGAAAGAAAGATAAATAGAATAAAGAAAGGTAAAAGCCCAGAGGCAAACTGTAAAGAGAAACAGGATAATTTAAGTAAGAAAAGCTGGCTAGAAACAAGCCAAATTAAGGCCAGGCATTCATAAATAGAAATAAGTCTCCATGTATTTATTTGGGAGATGGGTGGCGGGCCCCCTAAAGAGTAAAAAAAATTCAACTACAGGCAGGCATTGAGGTTTCAAAGGACTCATGTCATTCCCAGCTCCTCTGTGCCTTTTGCAGGGGACTTGGCTTCAATTCCCAGCACTCATAAGGTGGCTCAAAACCACCTGTAACTCCAGTTCCAGGAGACCCAAAGCCTTCTTCTAGCCTCCTTGGGAACCAGATACTCATGTGGTGCATAGATAAACTCACAGACAAAACATCCGTACACATAAAATAATAAAAATTAAGCCACAAATAAAATGCATTCTTCTATACGTTGCCTTGGTCAGGGTGTGCTATCATGGCAAAAGGAAACTAAAACACTTAGGGTTTTACAGAGTTAAGTCCGTCAGACGGCAGAGCAAAGAACCAACGGGGACCTCACAGTTTGATCCACAACCAGAAGGCAGAGAGAGAGAACTCAAAAGGGTGTCCTTGTCCATCTTGAAGACCTTAGTTTAACACTCCAAACTCTCACAGGTTTCTACCTACTGTATTCAAGAGTTTTTCATGCCTTAGAGTTCAGTGTGTCGAAGGTGCTAAGGCTGCTAAGCCCTAGCCCTCTCAGAGGAGGTCCATACTGTGTAAGGAAGAAAGGGTGACAACAAACATGGAGAGCCTCAGTGTTCATGAAATAAGAAGCAAGGTAGAAGTCAGAGGGGAAGAAGTTGGGAGCTCATGAAACCTCATGGAACTTGAGTTCCATCCCCAGGACCAGCATGGTAGAAGGAGAAAAATGACTCGTACAAGTTGTCCTCTGAAATCCACATGGGCGCTCTGGTGAACACACACACACACACACACACACACACACACACACACACACACACACACACAAAGACTTAATTTAAGGGCCAGCAACATAGCTCAGCAGGTAAAAACACTTGCTGCCAAGACAAGTGTTCAGCAAGACCTGAGTTCAATCCCTGGAACCTCCACAGGATGGAAGGAGAGAACTGATTCCAGAAAGCTGTCCTCTGATCTCCACACATGTACTCTGGTATGTGTGTGCAGGCATGCACACACACACACACACACACACACACACACACACACACACACACATCATAAATAAATAAATGTCAATTTAAATTGTTTTTTAAAAGCCCAGAGAAGTCATCTACTATAGTGCCCATCTAGAAATTTTCAAAATTCTGCTATACCAACTGAAGTTGCCCAAGTTATAAACTATCAATAAAATGGTGAAAACAAATATAAATAAATAGAATATAATCACAGTCGTCTTAAGCTTTTTAAATTTAAAATTTTGTATTTTCTATCTGCATTTAACACCAGCCTTAATAGCTACTTAAGTATACACAATTTTTTTTTTTTTACAAGAATAATGACCAGACCTAAGATTCTGTTCCTAAGAACTCATTTTTTTTACCATTTTGATTTTACCATTTTGGCTAATTTCATTAACAATTCAAACTGAGAAGATAAATGGATTAACGGTGCCCAAGTCACAAGTGTGGCTCATAAATGATTCCTGACTCATCTATCACACCGCTTTCAACACAAAAATAATGTTTTTTACTTAACAAAATGCATCGACTTGTAGCAATTTTAAAAAGTCATACTGTTTAAAAATATGTGTTGAGCACCAAAAGGGAAGGGAAGCCACATTCTGGAATAAAGAAATTAATAGTGATCAGTCTGCACAGAATGAGGATGAGACAATGCCCATACCATACCTGGCAGTCTGCAGATTTGTGTGCCCGCGAACGTAAGGCAGCCACACAGGCCAGATGATTACCACTGCCAGCTCAGCAGCTGAGCTCTTGGAGAAAAGGCGGCATCTACACCATAGGCCACTAGAGAACTAGAACTTACAGCCAGCCAGTCTCTCTGGAAGCGAATGGAGAATGTGGCGCCGAGACCGGGAAAGTCTTGACAGCAAACGGGCTTGCTGGGGGCTGGGGAGCTTTCCAGGGCTACCTGGCTGAAGGCATACAGCAACCGCCCGTGGGCTAAGATCAACACCTCACCCCAGAGGTGAAAAGAAAAACTCCAGGGGGGCCGAGCAGAGGGCTCGACCTTACCTTGTCATCCTCGCATCTCTTCCCCAGGCCCTCCCTGGCCTGCAGCCGGCTGCTGAGGCGGCCGTAGTCGGCCTCCTTCTGGTCGATCTGCTTCTTATGCGTGTCCACCAGGAGCAGGAGGTCCGAATTGCGCTTCTCCAGGCGCCCCCGGGCCACCTCGGTGCGCTGGACTTGGCCCTGCAGCTCGGCCACCTCCTCCTGAAGCAGAACGTGGCGGGAGGAGATGCTCCAGTAGTTGAAGGCAAGGACGACGATGACCACCAGCAGCACCACCAGCACGAAGGAGGGCAGGCGGCCGGCCCGCCGGTTGGCCCCGAAACCCACCATGGGGCC